TAATTGCTCTAGCTAGGGTTTCAAGGACTATGTTGAATAGAAGCAGTGAAAGAGGGCATCACTGTCTTGTTCCAATTTTTAGAGGACATGCTTTCAATTTTTCTCCATTTAGAATGATGTTGGTCTTGGGTTTAGTATATATAGCTTTTTCAAAGTTGAGTTATATATCCCTAGTTTTTCTAATGTTTTGAGCATGAAGGGGTTCTGTATTTTTTCAAATGCTTTTTCTGCATATATTGAGATAATCATGTGATTCTTGTCTTTTTGTGATGAATTATGTGTATTAATTTCTGTATGTTGAACCAACCTTGAACCCTTGGAATGAACCCCACTTGATCATGGTACACTATTTTTTTAAAAAAAATTTTGGTACTTGGTATTGAACTCAGGGGCATTCAACCAGTAAGCCACATCCCCAGCCCTATTTTGTATTTTTATTTAGAGACAGGGTCTCACTGAATTGCTCAGTGCCTCGCCATTGCTGAGGCTGGCTTTGAACTCACGCTCTCCTGACTCAGGTTCCTGAGTCACTGGGATTACAGGTGTGCCCCACCACGCCCAGCATACTATCTTTTTAATTTGTTTTTGTATGCATTTGCCAGTATTTATTAAGAATATTTGTGTCTGTGTTCATCAGGGATATTGTCCTGAAGTTTTCTTCCCTTGATGTGTCTTTGTCTGGTTTTGGTATCAGAGTAACACTAGCTTCATAGAATGAGTTTGGAAGGGTTTCCTCCTTTTCTGGTTCATGAATAATTGGAGAAGTGTTAATGTAAGTTCTCCTTTGAAGATCTGGTGGAACTCAGCTGAGACTCCATCTGGTCTTAGGCTTTTCTTTGTTGGTAGGCTTTTGATGGTGTCTTCAGTTTCATTGCTTGAAATTCATTCGTTTAAATTTTCTATATCCTCCTGATTCAATTTGGGTCATAAGTCTCTAGAAATTTGTTGATGTCTTCATGATTTCATATTTTATTGGAGTATAGACTTTCAAAGTAGTTTCTGATTACCATCTGTATTTCAATAATGTCCATGGTGATAGTTCCTTTTTCATCACAAATTTTATGATTTGCATTTTCTCTCTTTTTTCTTATTTAGCTTGGCATGAACCACTAATTTTACTCATAGGTATATACTCAAGAAAATGAGTGTGTACATAGACCAAACAACATGTGCAAAGCATGAATGTTCATAGAAACTATATTTATGTTAGTCTTAAACTGGTATCATCCAAATCCACAAAGAAATTGATGAATAAATTATAGTACATTCATTAAAAAAAACCCTACCACATAGCATTTAAACTTGAACTATGTAAAGAATTTTAAATATGTGATTCTATAAAACAAGCAAAATGAATTAATGATGTGGGGATGGGTATGTAGCTTAGTGGAAGAACACTTGCCTAGCTTCTGTGAGGCTCTGGATTCAATTTCTAGCACCATAAAAAAAAGAATCAATGATGATATAAATCAGAGTGGTATTGACCTCCGAGGAAAGAATATTGAATAGAATAAGTTATACTGCATGTATGTATAATATATAAAAATACATTCTACTGTCATGTATATCTAAAAAGAACAAATAAAGAATTAAAAAACAGAATAGTGAGAAAGCTTAAAGGAAATTTTGAGTAATGAAAATGAGAGCCACCTTGGTTTTGAAAATGTTTATGTGAGTGTATGTATATATGTACAAGTTCACCAAGGTGTAACCTCTCTGTGCATTTTATCATATATAATTTATACTTTTAATAATGTTACTTTTAAAATAAAATTTGACCAATTATACTATGTGCATATACAAATATAAAGAATCTCACTCTTTGTATAATTATAATGCATCACTAAAAATAAAATAAATTGGTATGTCATTTATTTTTAATAAATAAATTAATAATTTTTTTAAACTAGTGTCTTATGGATGTACATGATGTTGAGATTCAATGTGGTATATTCATATACAAATGTAGGAAAGTCAGGCTAGATTCATTTCACTGACTTTCCCTATCCCATAAATTGCTATATAATTAATTTTGTTACTTTAGTGCTATGGGAGAATCAATGATTCTTGGCTTTTTTCCTTTATCACTCACCAAAACTAATTGTATATCCTTCCCATGACTAATCAGCTAAAATCATACAGAAAGAAAATGAAGATAATGATAAACAAAATGAAAAGGAGAAATGACATGTAATCCTGTCGAACTGAGAGTAAACACAAGTGACCAGAAGGGACAGATTCAATGAGCCCAGAGAATGATTCACAGTGGATTTGTGTTTAAGTAGAATACCACTCCAAATGCATACTTTGAAGAGTACTTTGGCTTTGAGGTTACTGACCTCCATCATTATCATGGTACCTGGTAAGTGTGACATTTTGACATTTTTAGAAGAAAATAAAACCATCTTTAAATAGGGACAAGGATTCTCTTGATTCAATTGTAAGATGCTTTTTGAATTGTCCTGTAGTGATAAATTTGTGCACTATCTGGCACACTGCTTCTGATGTGTCTTACTCCAGTGATGCACTAACTGTGGTCACCATGCAGTACAATAGACCATTAAAACTTATCCCTCCAGTCTAATTAGAATTTTGTACCCTTGGATCAACACTTTACCTTTTGCTGTTCCTCCCACAAACCTCCAGTGTCTGGTAACCACGTTTTTTACTCTTTGTTTCTATGAGATCTACCTTTTTGGATTCTATATAAAAGTGAGATCATGGGCTGGGGATGTGGCTCAAGCGGTAGTGTGCTCACCTGGCATGCGGGGCACTGGGTTCTATCTTCAGCACCACATAAAAAATAAAATAAATTTGAGATGTTGTGTCCACCGAAAACTAAAAAATAAATATTAATTTTTTTCTCTCTCTCTTTTAAAAAAAGTGAGATAATATAGTATTCATTTTCCTGTATTTGATTTATTTCACTTAGCATAATAATTTCATTTAGCAGTTCCATCCCTGTTGTCATGAATGACAAAATTTCCTTCTTTTTAAAAGGCTATTCTGTTGTGTGTGTGTGTGTGTGTGTGTAATTGTTTTATCCATTTACCCAGTGATGGACATTTAAGTATTTGCATATCTTGGCTATTTTGAATAATGCTGAAATTAAGAGAATAGTGCAGATATACATGACATATGTATTTCAGATCTTTTGGATATATGGCCAGAAGTAGATTGCTAGATGATGTGAAGTGAGGAGGGATGAAATAAGAAAAATACAGTAAAATGAATCTGACCTAATTTTACTTATGTACATGTATCAATATACCACTGTGAATCTCACTGTCATGTATATCCACAAGACTAATTTAAAAAACTATTAAAAACAGAATATGTATCCCCTTGTGGTTGAAAGTAGCCTAGAGAGGTCAGTTATACCCAGTTGATTGATGGGACTATTGAGTTCAGATATGGGTGTCCTTCCTGATTTTATGCCTGTTGGTTCTGTCCATTTTGATTTCTTCTTAATATTATATCAGTTTTAGCCTCACACATTTTGACACTCAGTTGTTAGGTATATATGTGTTAAGAATTATTAAGTCTTCTTGGAGAATTGATCACTTTACCCTTACACAATGCCTGTCGTTAACTCTGATACTTTTCCTTGTTCTGAAATCTTTTCTGACCAAATTAATGTAACTATTCACACTTTCTTTTACTAGAATTATCATAGTAACCTTTTTTCTCCCTTGTACATTTAAACTATATTGATCCTTATATTTACGTGAATTTTGTATAGATATAGTACAGTTGGCTCTTGCTTTTTGACCTATAGTGAAGAATTTCTCTCTTAATTGGAGTGTTTAGATCATTGATATTCAAACTGACCTGATGTATTTGGATTACTGTAGTTTCTACTGTTTTCCTTTTGTTGCCCTCTTTCCTTTTTTCCCCTTCTGTCTGCCTTTTATGGTTTTAGTGGAGCATTTTTAATAATTATGTTTTGTCTCCTTTCTTAGTATAACAAATATGTTTCTATTTTTACTTTTCATAGTTGCCCTAAAATTTGCAATATGCATTTACAACTAACCTGAATATACTTTCATAAAACAGTATTTAGCTTTGTGATTAATATGAGTACCACATAATAACAAAATAATTTGAATTTCCCACTCCTGCACCTTGGATTTTCTTAAACACAATAAAGCAAGCTCTCAGTAATCATATTTAAGAGTGTTTAGGACTACTTTGATGAGAAAAAAATTCATCTCACCCAAGGGTCTTAGGAACCAAGAAGTTAGAAAATTGAAGGAAGTAAGGACTTCCAATTTTGTACCCCCTTCTGACTTAGCATCACTGCCTCCCCTTTTTAAATTAAAAAAATTTGGGACAAAAGAGAGATAAATGAGGGCTGGGGATGTGACTCAAGTGGTAGTGTGCTCCCCTGGCATGAGTGCGGCCCGGGTTCGATCCTCAGCACCACATACAAACAAAGATGTTGTGTCCGCTGAGAACTAAAACATAAATATTAACATTTTCTCTCTCTCTCTCTCTCTCTCTCTCTCTCTCTCTCTCTTTAAAAAAAAGAGAGAGAGAGAGATAAATGAATTCTTCTCAATTCTGATCCTAAATTCCTTGAGAAAAGGCTCTCCTTTTCCATCTAGGTGAGATTCCCATCCCTGGACCGTATAACTTTAGTTAGGAGGTAGCATATACAGTTAGATGCCCATACTGTACCAATCCCCCTAGTTGGAGAAGGAGTTGGGGGTGGAAGAAGGGAGACAGGGTTACCTTGTATAAAATGGTTGAAAAAAATGAGGGGTTCCATAGTGGGAAATCATTGATTAATACCTTCCAAATATAATTTTCAAGATATTAAATTACTTTTATTGCTAGATGGCATAATTTCTAATTTCTGTTTTGCAATGATTATATGATTTTAGTGATGGTTAACCAATTGTCTCTCATGTTGAAGGAGAATATGGAGAAATAATGGCTTCTAGTCTATTTGAGCATATAAAATTGATTTCATTTACTCTTCTCTAAATATTCTCTAGATTCAATTAGTTCATGCTTGGATGGAAACCAGACGACACTCAGCCCTACAGAAGGTAATATGCTTCCTTATCGAGGGTCAGCACCTAGGGGATGGAGAGTGGAACTTTGTTAGAAACAGTGGCTGATGGCCTGGCTGCAGGCTAGCCATAAGATGAACTTTTCAATGTGGTGATCTGAATGTTGTAGTTGAGGTGCCCCAAGTGACCCTACCACTACTTGCTCCCTGAACAAGGCACAATCTTATTTGCTGCTACACCTCTGTCAAACTAGAATGGTGGGAAGAGCATGGGTTTAACTTCCTGTCAGGACTGAGTTCAGGTTCCATTCTTTCTTCATCTAGTTATGTGATGTTTGGTTGACCATGAAATGCAAGCACTTGTATACACAAAAGAGAGAGTGGTACTAAAACAGGAAAGGACAGGTATTAATTGTAGATTTTAGTGAAAGAAAGTTTCATTTATATAAAAGGTTTGCTCTACTCTAGCTGCTCTGCCTGTGTTAAGTGATGACATCAATGACCTCACCTTTGTTAGAGGTGAGTTGTGGCAGGTGCATTGTTGAGTAATTGCCTCTCAGTAAACCATGCTCAGTCATGGACAGCTTATGCTGGTTTATGAGAAGTGTGAGATTCTATGTTTGATGATATTTATAGGTCAGAGGGCTCAAATTTTGCTTTAAAAGATAAACACAAGGGGTCAACTGTTATATTTAATTCTGAGAATTGGATTGAACATACTAAAACAAAATACGTAAGCGCAGGTCATAATTAATCTATCTGTGGGTATATGTTGGTCTAAACAAGAAGGGAGAAAAAATATCTAAAGTCTATGATAATATCACACCTTTGCAATAAAATCCTTTTTTATAAAAAAATTTCCAAAGCAGAACAAATTTTGGTTTTTGTTTCTTAATTTACATAGCACATTTCTTTTTCACCTGAAGTGAATATATGTAGACATCTCTTGTCACTAGGCATTGTCATTTTTCTTTTTTATGTAATTACTAATCTGATGAAATAACAGATTATATTAAAATCTGTTGATTTCACTGAGTTTGTTATTCTCTAGAAATATAAAATGTTTCCAACTAGTTCAACCTGAATTCCATCTGAGTTACTTTTAATGAAAGTATCATATACTTTCTAGATGCATGTTTATCTTAAATGTTACCATGAGGGACAGATATTTAATTTTGATGCTACCAGTTTTTTTTTTGGCATTTATCAAAATTCAAGGGGAGACAACCACATAACTAATATTCTGTTTTCTTTTGTTTCCCAAGGAGCATATATTGTGTGACTAATCCAACATTGCTCACCACTAAAACATTAGATTTAGGACATTACTTGTCCTAAATTGTCATTTTATCTAGAACTGTTTTTTTTATGTCAGTCTGTTTTTAGATATCAAAACTCTGATTTAATTTCAACATATTTCTAATGCATTTTCTTTCCATGGTAATGCATAATACTGGATGAAATTGGTTAACATTTGGATTTGGTATAGTATATTATATATATTTTGTGAATATTAATTTATTGTATAAGTCTAATATTTCTGGAATAAGATCAACAGGAAAGCAAGGTTCTAGCACAACTTTATGTAATCTTCTGTGAACAAATTGAAAACACAAAGTTCTTTATCATGGCCTCTTTTCTCATTCTCCTTGTGTGTGTCCAGATAACACTTGGCTGGCTGTGCAGATGGGTACAAAGGCTGTGCTCTGTTGCCCTCATATTCCACCAACATCAGTGTTGATACTAACATCATGGAAAATACACCTCAGAGACAAGCCTTCGTGCACCATTTCCCTCAACAGAGAAACAAATGAGACCGGGAAAAACAACTGTACTGATGGGAGAATCTCCTGGGCCTCCAGACTTGACCAGAATCCTGAACTTCAGATCCATCCAGTGTCCATCTCACATGAAGGGGATTACAGGTGTGAAATGGGAACAACTGATGGAAATTTTCAACGTACATATCACCTCCAAGTGTTAGGTAAAGAATTTCGTCTACTGTGATATTTTGGGTTACTGGATTTGTGACTGAAACAGATGTCTCTGTAATCCCATAACCGTATGTTGAGACTGAAGCATGATTTCCCTTCCATCTCTGCAGTGCCCCCTGAAGTGATCCTGTCTCCGGGGAAGAATAGAACTGTGGAGTGCAAAGCAATTGCAGGAAGGCCAGCTGCACAGATTTTTTGGGCCCCAGAGGGGGATTGTGTCACTGGGAAAGAATACCAGGACAATGGCACAGTGACGACCAGGAGTAGGTGCCATTATCCAGATGGCAACGTGTCCACCGTGACCTGCTTGGTCTCCCACCTGACTGGCAACAGGAGTCAATCCACAGATCTACTTCCTGGTTAGTAATTCTTCTAGTTGTTAAAATTTGTTTGATTGTTTCCCATTATTTTAAAAGAGTTATGTTAAGAAAGAAAATATGGTGAAATTTTATTCATAGTTGTTCTTTTCAGCTTCCATTTTATCACTCTTCTCTTCCTAAAGAGGTGTCTAGAAGAATTTGTTTTAAAAAGCCATATTTTAGAATGCAGTGTATTCTCCTTTTTGAAAATGTTTTTAGTGCATCATAGTTACACATATAATCAGGTTCATTTTTACATAATCATACATGCATGAAATATAATTTTTAAATTTCATTCCCCAGTGCTTCCTCTTTGCCTCCCTTCCTCCCTTCTCCTGTTACTCTACCTCTATTGTTCTTCCTTCTTTTTATATGTTGTTTTTAAATTGGTGATTTAAAGGTGAAAGGTGAGATTCACTGGTATAGTCACATAAGTACACAGCATAATTTGATCGATTTCATTCCTCAGTTTCTCCCTTTTCCTGTCCCTCTTCTCTCCCCTTCAATCTCTGTCCTTTATTCCACTAATCTTCCCTCTATTTTCATGGAATCCTCTCAGTTACCCTAATTTTGCTCTAGCTTCCACTTTTGAGGGAAAGATTCAACTCTTAACTTTCTGAGTCTGGCCTGTTTCAGTTGGCATTATGTTCTCCAGTTCCATTCATTTACCAGCAAATGCCATAAACTCATTCTGCTTTTTGGCTGAGTAAAACTCTATGGTACATATATACTGCATATTCTTTATTCATTCATCTGTTTAGAGTCACCTGGGCTGGTTCCAAACTTGGCTATTGTGAATTGCATCATCAATAGATGGGCAAAAGAATTAAATAGACATTTCTCAAAAGAAGAAATACAAATGGCCAACAAGTATACAAAAATAGTTCAACATCCCTAACAATTAGGGAAATACAAATCAAAACTACATTGAGAGTTCATCTCACACCAGTTAGAATGGCAAGAAAGGGAAGTCAGAGCTATAATAATAATAAATGCTGGCAAGGATGTTTATGGAAAATGTATACTCATGCATTGTTGGTGGTCCTGCAAACTAGTACATCCACTATGGAAAACAGTATCAATATTACTCAAAAGACTAGCAATAGAACCAGAATATGACCCAGCTATCCCACTCTTTGGTATTTATCCAAAAGAACTAAAATCAGCATAGTATATTGATATAGGCTCATCAATGTTTATTGCTTATTATTCTTTTAATGCTCCCTTCTATACTAGTATTGACTTGAATAGTGTATTTTTAAAAGCATATTCATGTTTTTAAAATATTCTTTTAAAAATATTCTAATTAGATATACATGACAGTAGAATGTTTTGACACATATTTCTCATTCTTCTGGCTCTGCATGGTACTGAGTCACTCCAGTAGTGTAATTATACGTGTATATAAGGTAATAATATCTGTCTCATTCTCCCATCCTTCCCATCCCTATAGCCCCATCTCTCCCTTCACACCCATCTATACAAACCAAAGTTTCTTAATTATTCTCTGTCTCACCCATGCAACTATAGATCATCATCCACTTATAAGAAAAAACATTCAGCTTTTAAATTTTGAGGATTGGTTTATTTCACTTAGCATGATATTCTTTAGTTTTACCCATTTACCTGCAAATGCTATAATTTCATTCTTGTTTAAGGCTGAGTAATATTCCACATTTTGTGTGTGTGTGTGTGTATCTCACAGTTTCTTTATCCATTCATGTGCTGAGGACATCTAGGTTGGTTCCACAGTTTAGCTATTGTGAATTGAACTGCTATAAACATTGATGTGGCTGTGTCACTGTAGTATGCTGATTTTAAGTCCTTTGGGTATAAACCAAGGAGTGGGACAGCTGGATCAAATGGTGGTTTTTTTCTAAGTTTTCTGAGGTATCTCAAACTGATTTCCATAGTGGTTGCACCAATTTGCAGTCTCACCAGCAAGTATGAGTGTACCTAGTGAGGACATCATCACCAACATTTATTACTGCTTGTATTCTTGATAATTGCCATTTTGACTGGAGTGAGATGAAATCTTAGAGTAGTTTTGATTTGCATTTCTTTAATTGCTAGAGATGTTGAACATTTTTTCATTTATTTTTTGATCAATAGTATTTTTTTTTCTGTGAAGTGTCTGTTCAGTTCCTTAGTCCATTTATTGATTGGGTTGTTTTTTCGGTGTTACATTTTTTGACTTTTTTATATATCTTGGAGATTAGTGCTGTATCTGAGGTATGTGTGGTAAAGATTTTCTTCCATTCTGTAGGCTCTCTCATCATGTTACTAATTGTTTCCTCTGCTGAGAAGAAGCTTTTTTGTTTGAATCCATGCATTTATTGATTCTTGATTTTACTTCCTGCACTTTAGGAGTCTTGTTAAGGAAATCAGGTCCTAAACCAACATGATGAAGATTTGGGCTTACTTTTTCTTCTGTTAGGCTCAAGATCTCTGTTCTAGTGTCTAAGTCTTTGATCTACTTTGAACTGATTTTTGTGCATGGTGAAAGATAGAGGTTTAATTTCATTTTGCTACATGTAGATTTCCAGTTTTCCCAGCACCGTTTGTTGAAGAGACTATCTTTTCTCCAATGTATGTTTTTGGCACCTTTGTCTAGTATGAGACAACTGTATTTAGTGGGTTTGTCTCTGTGTCTTGTATTTTGTACCATAATATCAATACCATGTCATCTTGTTACTATAGCTTTATAGTATAGTTTAAGGTCTGGTATTGTGATGCCCCCTGCTTCACTCTTTTTGCTAAGGATTTCTTTGGCTATTCTGGGTCTCTTATTTTTCCAAATGAATTTCGTGATTGCTTTTTCTAGTTGTATGAAGAATGTCATGGGCATTTAATAGGAATTGCATTAAATCTGTGTAACAGTTTTGGCAGTATGGCCATTTTGACTATATTAATTGTGTCTGTGACATTTCATGTACTGTGCTGTCAATGGATTCTATTATTGTAGCATCTTTGTTTGGGGCACTTTCTTCCCTTATTATTCATAGTTCTAATTGAAAGATAAAGTATAATTTTAAAAAAATGCTTATGGTTTTAGTAAAAGGATAAAGTTATTCAAAAAAAGTTGCCTTCATGAACTTTAGTGTGGTAAAATTTCTCCTCTAGGCTCTTCCTGATAAAATTTCTTAAATGCTTTTATAATCACATCTGTAATTTGGTTTCTTGGTTCTCTGCTTCAATCCTACCTTCATTTCCTTTTATTTTAAAATTTAAATATTATTAACATCAATGTAACATACAGAATTAAAAGTCAAATTGTTCTATAAGTCAGTAACTGAAAGATACCAGCCCTATTAGTGCCTTTCCAACCCCACAACTGTGTCCTCATTCAAATCCCCAGAGGCAAGTACTTTGAAATCTTTAAGTGTTTCTTGTGGTAATTAACTCCATTTTCTTAAACCACATTCTCACAGTGCTGTTTCTTAGTGTGTTGAATTTAGACTTTATGTACTCACTTTCTCTTATGGTAGATGAAGATTTAACCTTATCTTACTCCCTTTCCTCATCTTTCATGTTATTAATATATCAGCACTTCATTAACTTAAGTGGCCAATGTTTGCATTAATTTGTTATTAAGTGCTGAATCAAGAAATAAAGTAATTCTTTCTCTTTTGAATAACTTCTTGTTTTTCCTGGACTTCATAATTGCTTTACTTTTTTGGGATTCCTTAATGATATATATATACCTTTTGTTACTTATTATTGATCTCACTGACTGAACTAGAGAACACCTAGTAATATTTTTTTCCCTCTGAAGACAAACTTTCTTGAAGTTTTTTTAATGCTCTGAGACTAATAAGTTTTTCTGGTCACTTGACTTTCTGCAAAGCTATGGGCCTGGACATTCTCCTTGCCTCAATCTTTTGCTTGATCCTATGTTTACTTAATCTGAGCTCCTTTTTTCTCCTGGATATTGGTTTGTTTTTCATCTTTTTCCCCACATACAATACTTTTATTAACCCTTTGGTAATCCTTGCTCTCAATAAATTTCAAATTGAGCACTAAAGAACCAATTCAAAGCTGTATTATCTGATGGTGGGATTTACAAACTAATAAGTTTTGATACATGAACAAGAATGTAAATGATTTTTGTCTTAAAAAAAATTGGTTCTTCCTTACATTTCTGAAGGTCTTTTTCTCTGGGACTGTTCAGACTCTTTGGAGAATTACTCTTCAGTACTTTGCCCTGGAAGAATAAACCTGACCCTGGTGTTCTGGAAGGGAGAATGCTGTGTGTGTTCACACATTCCACTGTTCATAGCTCAGACTTTCCTTTAATATTGCTCTTTGGTTTGGCACTTCAGCTCCACCCTTCCTAATGTCTGGATCCTTGACTCAGGAATCTCTAGTTTTACTATGAAGGTGCTCAGGATTATTTTCATTATAAAAAATATTATAGCACCCAAGGGAACTATTGCATGTGGGTCTTGGAACTATGAAATTAGAATATTGAAGTAGATAAGGACTCTCACCTCTGTTCCTCCCTCTTATTCTGCATCATTTCCCCTCCATATTTTTTTTATCTTCCAAAGTAGGAAAAATATGGTAAAAGGGTAGACAAATGAAGTCTTCTCAATTCTGTTTCTAAAATCCTTGAGAAAAGGCTCTGCTTTATCTGTCAGGGTGAGGGTCCCATCATTAGACCAAACAACTTTAATTAGGGAGTGGCATATAGAGAAAGGAGTTGAGTCAGATCAGTTCATGTGAGATGCCCACACTGGACCAATCCCTCTGGCTGGAGAAGGGAGACAGGGTTACCTTGTGTAAATGGTTGACAAGATTAGGTGTCTGAAAAATGTGAAACCTTTGATTAATACCTTCTGAATATAATTTTCAACGTATTAACATAGTTTTATTACTAGATGGCATAACTTCTAATTTGTGTTTTGCAATGGTTATATAATTTTCGTGATGGTTAACCAATTGTCTCTCATGTTGAAGGAGAATATGGAGAAATACTGGCTTCCCCTCCATTTGAGCATATCAAATCGATCTCATTTACTCTTCTCTAAATATTTTCTAGATTCAAGTAGTTCATGCTTGGATGGACAGCAGATGGCATTACCCCCTATGGAAGGTAATATGCTTCCTTATTGAGGGCCAGCACTGAGGGGATGGAGAGTGGAACTTTGTTAGAAACAGTGGCTGATGGGCAGCCTCTTGTCTGGCTTTAGAATATGGCAATCTGAGTGTTTTGGTATGAGGTGTCCCAAGTGACCCTATCACTACTTGCTCCCTGAACAAGGTACAGTCTTACTTTCTGTCAGGACTGTGTTCAAGTCCTATCTCTTTCTTCATCTAGTTACATGATCTTTAGTTGACCACAAAATGCAAAGGCTTGGGTACCCAGAAGAGAGAGTGATACTAAAACAGGAAAGGACAGATGTTGATTGATTGTAGATTTTAGTGTAAGGAGGTTTCATTTACTCAAAAGGTTTGCTCCACCATAGCCGCTCTGCCTGTGTTACAGTGATGACATCACTGACCTTACTTTTGTTACAGGTGAGTTGTGGCAGGTACATTGGTTGAGTAACCACCTCTCAGTAAACTATGCTCAGTCATGGACAGTTTATGCTGGTTTATGGGAAATGTGAGATTCTATATTAGAAGATGTTTATAGGTTACAGGTCTCAAGTTTCGCTTTAAAAGATGGACACAAGGGGACAACTTGTATATTTAATTCTGAGAACTGGATTGAACACGCTGCAGTAAAATATGTAAGCACACGTCATAATTCATTTATCTGTGGATATATGTTGCTCTATAACAAGAAGGAAGGGAAACTTCTCCAGATACTATGTTTGATAATATCACACATTTACAGTAAAAACTGGAAGTTTTTCATTTTTTTATACACCAAACTACTTTTTTACCATAAATAAATATTTTGAAGGTCTCTTTTCATTAGGCATTATCATTTTTCATTTTCATGGAATGGCTGAACCCGTGAAACTGCATATTATTTCAAAATATATTGGTTTCACTGACTTGTGATTTGTAAATAATAAAAAATTAAAAATTTCCATCACACTCAATCTAAATGCTATATTATTTAACTTTAGTAAAAGTGCCACAAACTTCCCACATTTATGTTGTCTGGAATTGCACCCTTAGTAACAGGCATTTAGATTTGATGTTACTGATAGTTTTGTACTCATCAAACCTCGGGGGGAGATCACCGCCTGATAATTATTCTATTTTATTTTATCTCCCTAGGAGCATGAATTGTATGATAAAATCAGTATTGCTCACTGCCAAAATATTAGAATTAGAACATTGTCTTTGTCATTTAATTTAGAATTCTGTCTTCTTGTCTGTTTCTAGACATTGAAACTCCTGATTTAATTTCAACATATTTTATAATGCATAGTTTCCCTAATAATTCATACTACAGGAGAAAAATTGTTAACGTCTGAATTTCCTTTAATACATTATGTATATTTTGTGAATGTTAATTTCTTATGTAAATCTAATATTTCTGGAGTAAGATCGCCAGCAAAGCAATGTTGTACTAGGACTTCAGTAATGTGCGGTGGATAAATCACACACACAGGTCCTTTATCAAGGCTTCCTTTTCTCATTCTCCTTGTGTATGTATGCATGTGTGTCCAGTTACCACTTCATTGTCTGTGCAGATGGGTACCAAGGTGGTGCTCTATTGCCCTTGTATTCCATTGACAAGAGTACTGATAACAACATGGCGAATACGCTTCAGAAACAAGCCTTCATGCAAAATTGCTCACGACAGGGAAACAAATCAGACCATCGAAACCAACTGTGTTGACAGGAGAATAACCTGGGCCTCCAGACCTGACCAGAGTCCTCACCTTCAGATTTATGCAACAGCCATCACTCATGATGGATATTTTAGGTGTCAAATGGCAACATATCATGGGAATTTCCGTCGTGGATATCACCTCCAAGTCTTAGGTAAAGAATGTCATATGTTGTTGGGCTGGGGATGTGGCTCAAGCTGTAGTGTACTTGCCTGGCATGCATGGGGCACTGGGTTCAATCCTCAGCACCACATAAAAATAAAATAAAGATGTTGTGTCCACCGAAAACTAAAAAATAAATATTAAAAAATAAAAAAGAAAGGAGTGTCATATGTTGTGAATATGATATTTCAGATCATCAGATTTGTGACTGAATTAAGTGTCTCTAAATTTCATATTTCTTGTGTTAAGATTGAAGCATGATTTCCCTTACATCTCTTCAGTGTCCCCTGAAGTCCCTGCTTTCAGGGCAGAATAGAACTGGGGTGTTAAAGCCAGTTGCAGACAAGTCAGCTGCACAGACTATTTGGACACCAGAGGGGGATTTTATCACACAGACAATTCTATGACAGTGACACAGTGGCAGCCGGGAGTATGTGCCACTCTTCAGATAGACACGTATCTGTTATGACCTGCTTAGTCTCCCATTTGACTGGCAATAGGAGTCTATCCATAGATCTGCTTCCTGGTTTGTGATTTTTCTAGTTTGTTTTGTGTTTAAGAACTTGATGCTCTTACTTCTTCACTCTAGCTCTTGTCTTCTACTCATGTCCAAGATTCTTTACAAAACGAAACCTACATTTATTGTCTCTTTTATGTTACCTCACATCTATCCCTTGACATTTATTCCTTTGTGTCTGCCTTCCCAGAAAGTAGTTGGACAAAAAGCAACAAATATTCCCCAGATGTCAAATAAAATATAAATTTTTCTTTGTTTGTTAGCTTAATTAGCTTTATTGTAAGTTTTCACAAATATTAATGTTAAATATTTACCATTCAGTGATATTGAATAATTGGTAACTTTAAATAATATTTATCAATTCTTAATAGTTGATTTATTTTTTGTTAATATTCAGTATGGTCACTCCTCCTTTCTCATGTGTTTCCCTCCCATTCTCACTTGATTCTCTTCCTTTTTCTTCTGTATATTTTTTGATGAATGATAATTATGCATAATAGTGAGATTAATTTTTACATATTTGTAAATGCACATGACATAGCATTATAATTAGGTTAATATCATTTCCCTGTATTTCTCTTTTCTGTGCCCTCTGGTTCCCTTCCTCTATTCTACTGGTGTCCCTTCTATTTTCATGAGACATGAGACCTTCCCTGCAACCTTTTTCCCTTTTTCCTCTACAGTTTTCACATATGAGGAAAAAAAAAAACAGGACCCTTGATGTTCCGAGTTTGGTTTACTTTGCTTAACATAATGCTCTCAGGTTCTATCCATTTTCCTGAAAATGACATAATTTCATTCCTTATGACTAAATAAAACTCTATTGAGTATACATACCACATTTTCTTATCTATTCATCCATTGATATCCCCAGGCTCATTCCAAAATATGACTATTGTGAATTGTCCTACTATGAACATGAGTATGCATGTACTATAGTATGCTGACTTTATTTCTTTGGGATAAATACCAAGGAGTGGCATAGCTGGGTCACATGGTGATTCCATTTCTAGTCTCTTGAGGAATATCCATTCTGATCTCTGTAGTAGTGTACTAATTTATAATTCTAACAACAGTGTAAAAGTGTTTCATTTCCCCCCACATCATCACCAACATATATTATTGTTTGTATTGTTGATTACTGCTATTCTAAGTGAAGATAAAATCTCAATGTAGTTTTGATTTGCCTTTCCCTAATTGCTAAAGACATTGGACACTTTTTAAATATATATGTTTGTTGTAATTTGTATTTCTTCTTTTGAGAAATGTCTGTTTAGTTCATTTTCTCATTTATTGATTGGGTTGTTTTTGGTGTTAAGTTTTTTGAGTTTTTAACATATGCTGGATAGTAATTATCTGTCCAAAGAGTAGCTAGGAAAGATATTTTCCCATTCTGTAGGTTCTCCCTTCACCTTCTTAATTATTTTCTTGGCTGTGCAGAAGTTTTTTTTTAATTTGATGCCATTCATTCATTAATTCTTGATATTATTTCCTGAACTTTAGGAGTCTTATTGAGAAAGCCATTGCCTATGCCTATATGTTAGAGTGTTGACCCTACATTTTCTTTAATGAGTTACCAAATTTGTTGTCTAATTCCTAGGTCTTTGATCCACTTTGAGTTGATGTTTGGGCAAAGTAAAGAAATAAGGATTTAGTGTCATTCTTCTATATTAGTATAACCAGTTTCCCCAGCACCATTTGTTAAAAGCCTGTATTTTCTCTAATGTCTGTTTTTGGCACCCCTGTCAAGGATCACATGACTATAGATGTGTGTGAATCTGTTTCTGTGTCTTCTGTTTGGTACCATTGGTCTATGAGTCTGTTTTTTTTTTTTTTTTTAAGAGAGAGAGAGAGAGGAGAGAGAATTTTTAATATTTATTTTTTAGTTTTTGGCAGACACAACATCTTTGTATGTGGTGCTGAGGATCGAACCCGGGCCGCACGCATGCCAGGCGAGCGCGCTACCACTTGAGCCACATCCCCAGCCCTATGTGTCTGTTTTTATGCTAGTTCCATGCAGTTTTTGTTACTATAGGTCTGTAGTACAAGTTCAGATCAGGTATTGTGATGTCTCCAGCATTGCTTTTTTTTTGTTTTTTTGGTTTAGGATTACTTTTGCTATAGAGCATTTTTTTATTCTTCCAAATGAAATTTAGGACTGCTGTTTCTAGTTCTATGAAGATTGCCATTGGTATTTTAATAGGGATTGCACTGAATCTGTACATTATTTTTGGTTATTTGGCCATTTTAACAATATTAATATTGCCTATCCACGAAAATGGGAAGTCTTTCTATATTGTGTCTTATTTAATTTCTTCTTTCAATATTCTAAAATTTTCATTGTAGACATCTTTCATTTCCTTGGTTAGTTTCATTCCTAAGTACTTTATTTTTGTTGAAATTATTGTGAATGGGATTATTTTCCTGATTTCTTAGCAAATTCATTGTTGGCATATAGGAAAGCTACTGATTTTTGTATGTTGATTTTGTTTTCCATCCCTTGGTTCTCTTCTTAACATTCAGTTGACTTATTTGTTTTCATGTATTCATTCTATGAATGAAAGTATTTCTATGGGTTGCATCCTTGACCTGATTCTCACTTATCTATGTTCCTTGAATAACCTCAAAATCATACCCATTGCTTCATCTATCAGCTAATTCTTAACTCTCAAATCTGTGTTTTCTTTTTGCCCAGATTTTGCTTCTTAGCTCTCTCAACTTGAAACTGAACAGGTTCACTTAGATGCATCAAGGGCAACTCAAATATTTTTACCCCTTCATGAGTTCTGCATGTTTGTTTTATAACTTTAAATTTTTGTACATTCTTTTGTACAAATCTTTCTGCACATTCTCTTCAATTATTCTTTTCTTCATATTTTTATTTGTGCATCATAATTATGCACAATAGTGGGATTCATTGTTACATATTCATACATGCACTTTATAACTTGATAAATTTCTTAAGCTAGAAACTTAAACAGATTCTACAACATCCTTCTTTCTTATTCCTCATATTCAAAACCAGTCACTCTGTTTTATTGATTTGACCTTAGAAATCATTCTTAAATATGGAAGCTTCTCTTTCTATCTTAGTTATTTGTATGATCATCTCTCACCAAGATTATTGAAATGGCTCTAGAGCAAGACTACTGGCCCTTAGCTTACTTAATTTCAATTTATTCCCTGGATTATTTCACAAGGACCATTCTAAAATGAAAAATGTTCCACTCCTCTACTTACATGACCCCCAAGGCTCCTTTGGCTTCATGGAAAGCTAAACCCCTTTGACAGCTTGCACTACAGCAGCTCTTTTCTGCCTCATGTCTCACTCTTCTCCAGTCTGCACCCCAGGTATGTGGGTCCTTTTCGGCTTTTCAAAAGTATTCTGCTCTCTTTCTCTGTTGCCTTTTACACTCAGCTTCAACATCCCCACAATGTACTTCTTTCTCTGTGCTCATTTCTTTCATTGCATTTGATCAATTCTTATTGAGTTTTGAGCCATTGCTCCTCTGGGATGATTTTTTTCTTTAATTTGAAGCTTAGTCAACTATTTATTCTCTGTATTGACGTAATGCTTCATGCGTGCCTCTGTCAGGGTACTTCCATATGTCTGTCATTGATGGCTCTGAACTATTTTCACTCACAATATGACACCAAATGAGCATGGTTCTTTTCTTTGCACACCAATCAATACTCGAAGTCTCCAGTATTAACCAGGTGTCTTGCAATTCAATTTAATTCTGATGCTAACTCCTGGGATTAGCACAGATCCCACAGCTTAGGGTGTCAGTCTCACATACTGCCCCCACTTGAGACACCAGTAACCGGTTTTAGTGCCACCTGTACTTATAGCTAATTGACTATAAATTCAAGGAGTTCCCACATTCCTCCGATCAGATTCAATAATCTGCCAGAATGGCTCACAAAACTCAGGAAGGCATTTTATTTACTGTTATTCATTATTATAAAGAAAACAACACAGGAACAGCCAAATGGAAGAGATACATAGGGCAAAGTACAGGGGAAGGGGCCTGGAGCTTCCATACCATCTTAGAGAAAGTCATTCTCCCAGCTCCTGGATATGTCTGTCTCCTAACGCAGAAGCTATACAAACCCCATTGTTCACTGTTTTTATGGAGACTTCATTACATAGGCTTGATTGACTAAATCATTGGTGTTTGGTGATTAACTCAATCTCTAGCCTCCTTAGAGCTCAGTGATGGTGGTTGTGGTGGTGATAGAGGCTGAATGTTACAACTCTAATCATGCCTTACTTTTTCTGATAACTAACCCTCATTCTGAAGATATATAAGGTCTTCCAGACACCAGTCATCTTGCTAGCATACAAAAGACACTCTTACTATGGTGGTATTTCCAAGGTTTTAGAAGCTATGTGCCAGGAGCCGGGTAACAAAGACATTATATTTCTCTTTGTATCACAACTACAGATGTCTTTGATTTCCAGTACGTTGTTGTAAGTTCCTTGAAAATAGGAACCACTTTTTTTTTTCCAATTCTACATCACTAAGATCTGTCACAATACCTGACACAAATAATTGCACAATTAGGTTCTGATTATCACAAAACCCAATCTCTACATTTTTCACTCTATGCCCCAAATCTTCAAAGCTTTAAGTTGTTCCTTTCCCTTGAAACATCCTTCCTTCTTCTCTTAACCTATTTAATACTGCAGACCAGCAAAGCTCAGTTTAAATCCCACTTCTCTCTGACCCTCGGAGTTGATGAACCATTCTTATTCCTCAGATGGCTTATAATGTAATGCTCACCAGCACCATTTGCTCTCTCATGACTTCTCTTTCATTTGTGTGTGTTTGACTTCTCCAGTTAGACTTTGAGCTTTTGGGGGACTGCATTCATATTGTCCTTTTTTTTAAAAATTTATTTTTAAAATTTTTTAAAATTTTATTAATTTTAATTTGTTATATATGACACTAGAATGCATTTCAATTATAGTGCACATTCGTATCTCTGGTTGAACACAAAGTAGAGTCACACCATTCATGTCTTCATACATGTACTTAGGGTAATGATGTCCTTCTCATTCCACTGTCTTTCCTACCCTTGTGCCCCCTCCCTTTCTCTCCCCCACTTTTGCCCTGTCTAAAGTTCATCTATTCCTTCCATGATCCCCCACTCATCCCCAGTATGAATCAGCATCCCTATCATATTGTCTTCTTATCCCCTCACTGTGCCTTTTCATAGAAGAAAAGATTGCAGAATAATGATCCGATTAGTCTGCTTTTATCTTTTAAACAAATCCCAGGGGGCATTTTACAGATGAGTAAAACGAAAGTAGGAAGACATAAAACACTTTATTAAAGTGGTTCTATCTACTCAGTGACAAAATCATTTCACTGTGTGTTGAAAGTGTTATCAGATCATGCCCAAAATATTCAGAATAAGATTAAACTTTGCAAGGGAAATTTTCTTTTTGTTTTTCTTTTTTTTAATATTTAGAACAACTAAAAATGCTTAGAATATTCTCATTCTTTCAGAAAATATGTGTTAAAATGTACCAAGTACAAAACAAAGATATGGTTCCCGAACTCAGTCATGAAATAATGATACATTAGTAATATTTGAAATATAATTTAGATTTTTTAAAAAAAATTTTGACAATCTATGAACTTTTAGGAATATTTTTAAAGTATTCTTTTAAACCATTGACTCTAATTTGTTAATTATAAGAATCTTCAAACAGACTTTTAACTCTTACCTGCATTTAAAGGTCTCGGAACACCAGAATCTCCAGGTTCAACTCTGCTGATCATTCTCTATGCGAAACTCTCTCTTCTTGTGGTCATTCTGGTCATGGTGGGATTTGCTTTCTTCCAGTGGATAAATGATTGCAGGTAAGAACTGAGGATTGAACTGGTAAGACTCAGTAGGAAGCAAACATCACTGGGAGACTTTTGAGTTCCTTCTGTGCTGGAATGAGCTTGACACATTTCATGATACATTGCGTTCGCTGCCTCAGCTGCTTCTTTAACATTAGGCTTTGTGAACAACCAGAAGACCTGGCAGAGGTGTCCACAGAACTGGGGCCAGAGCTTGGTTGTGATTTTGAACCAAAGAGTCCTAGCCTAGCACACTCCTTGAGATTCCAGCAGGAGGTTAAGAGGCTGCTGGTACTTCTCAAGAGTTTACTTCCATGTTTCCATGATTCGGATGACTTGTTTCTTGCATTATTATTATTATTATCATTATTAATATTATTGTTATTATTATGTTTCTTCCTAGAGAATAAAAATCAGAAGAGCTGGAAGTCAGTTGATGAGACATCACAAGAAAACAGCCATTTGTAATCAGCCTCATGTTCAACATCTAGCTGAAGTGCACTTTCATACCTAAGCGTTTATGAGAATGGACATAAGTTGCAGGCAGTTTCAGTCTCTTAACATACAGTATATACACATATGCAAAAGCTTGGTGTTTGCTGTCATAAATGTCAAGGGTGCTTTGTCTATTCTTCCCTTTCCTTCAGTGAATGCTTATTAGACAAAGTAAAACAATCCTGCTTCCCAGCCTAAAGAAGAAGATGGCTCAGCAATTCAAACAGCAATGCTGAGCAGTTTTTCTACACCCCTTGAGTCCTTTGGATGGTGCTTTCATCCAGCTTCTTGGTTCCTTTGTCCACTTGAGATGCTATCAAAGTTGCAATGGCTAGAGCCACTATAAACACTGCCTGCAAGTTGGCCAGTAGCGAACCTTCTGTCCTTTTTTTTTTTTCTTCCTAGCAAGTACCAGGGCAGTCACATTGCATATTTGGACTGAATCCTAAGTGAATGGCTTAAAGTCTTTTTTAGCAATAGTTGCATTTTAGTAGAAGTTATAAATTGTTCCCAACTAAGGAACTGCCAGTGTCCTTGGATACAATGCTGAAGGTCCCCTGACCTTTCAGAGCTCTAAGTGTCTCAGTACTGTTTGTTGTTTATATTCTAAGTTACAGATTGGAATGGATTAATGAGGGTAAAGGGTGGGATACTGGTGAAGCCCTAATATCTTGAAAGGCTGCTGATTCAGATGGTAATCCTGTAGTAAAAAGTGTTGTTTTACCTAAATGTATCTTTCCGCCCCCCGCGCCCCCCCCATACTGTAGATTGAACTCAGGGATGTTTCACCACTGAGCCATGTCCCCAACCCTTTTTATTGTTTATTTTGAGATAGAGTCTCACTAAAGTTTCTTAGGGCCTTGCTAAATTGCTGAGACTACCCTCAAACTTGTGATCCTCCTCCCTCAGCCTCCCAAGTTACTGGGATTACCAGCACGCACCACCATGCCCAGCTAAAGGAATCTTTTCTTATGTAAAGTTGTGAGTGATTTGGGCTACTAGTTTTGTTTTCAATAAAACTGTAGGGGAGAAAATGAATGCTTAATATTGGAAGATGCTACACTAGTCCAGTACTCTAATTAGGTGGTGCTTTCATCCTAGATTCTTGGTTGCCCACCAAAAAAAGTTTAATTCTTACTCAAATCACACTCCAATGTAGTTGGTGGGTCTGGGACAGTGGTTTGACAGGTATTGCTCCAAGCTAGCATTTTATCCTCTTTATGCTATGACTCTGATTTCCTCAGAGTACTCTGTAGTCACCTGGTGAAAAGGCAGCAGGATTTTATGTGGGAGGATTTTACAGGCCAGACTTGGAGTAGCAGTTACTTCTACTGGCATTCCATTGTCTAGTGTTCAGTCTGAAGGTCATGGTAACTTGTACAGAGCTTGGAAAATGGTCTGACTGCTTTGGAAGAAAAGGAATCAAGCTTGTTATACATCTAGCCAATAGTAAATAATAGGACTAGTGCTAAGATTAATGCCTACTCTATTTGTCATCTAACATGAATTAATAAATATTTTCATTAGTAAATATCATAGATATTTATTAGATTTTGTATTAGATTTTTTTCATGTTTATGATAGCATATTGAAAGTGAAGGAGTCTTGTAATTCAATTCTGTAATAGACTGAAAAAGACAGCAGAGATTGCAAGTTGCCTGGTCCATTGTGGTCCTACCCTTTCTCTTTGTGGCCATTGATTATGTTCACACCCCCTTTTACCCATGCAAGCTTTCAGCGGATTTCAAAGTCCTTTCCCTAAGGAGAGTACATGCTTATCCACCATATGTAATTTGCTTTGGCCAATAAAATGAGGCAGCAGTGGCAGTGTACCATCTGAGCATGGGTCTCATGAGGTCCTTCATGTTTCTGCCTGCTACTCCAATGAGAACATGTCTGGCCTAGCCTGCAGGGGAGTGAGAACCACATAGAGTATAGCTGAATCACCTCACTCCAACCTGCTTACCTCCCTGTTGAGTTTTGGCAAATGAAATATAAGCATATCGTCTGTGATATTTTCTGGAAAACTTTTTGAAAGAGAAAGGAAGGGTGCTTTTCTGCTTTTCCTCCTTATTTCTTGGACTGCAACATTGGTGTGATGACTGGAGGTCCAGCAGCCAACTTGAGCTATGAGTGACCCTTGAGGAAGAAGACTATTCACTGAGATGGATTTAAAAAAAATGGAAAAAGAAAGATGGAAGCATCCTGGGCCTGATGACCATGGAGCTGCCCTACCAACCCTAGTCCATCTACCTATTGACTTTGTATAAGAGAATAAACTATTTTATTCATGGCACTGCTATTTTGGGTTTTACTGTACACAAAGCCGAACTTCATCCTTATTGTCATAAACACCTAGTTGGTCAATCTGAAGGTTTGTTGTCAATCTTGCAAAAACAGGTTATGTTCTACTTATGTGCATATAGTGATCTATTTTTGTTCTTGACTTAGAGGTAATAAAACAGGCATAACATCAGAGGTTAGGAATCACAGAGCCATTTCTATGAAGATTTTGCAAGAACGGTTGGTTATGTAAAGTTAAGTGATGCTGTGGCTTGTGGTGGGTGGGAAAGGACTTGGGAATCTGGGGCTGTGAGAAGATCATCTAGTTGTCACTAGACATGAGAGGACATATCTGCTTTGTAGGATTGGAAAGACCAACATACCATTGTGAGTAAGAGAAACAGAGGAATTGAGATCTATTGGACTTTATTGTGTTAATTCTTTTTCACCAAAGGGACTCAGTCATTTGTGGGAGAGACTTACGTGAATTCAGGCCATCTCTCTATCCCATTCTCACTGGCAGGACGTTATTGATGGCACTTGACTGGAAGAGTAGAAAACTATAGCCCCTCCTTCCAACCTCCATCTTCCTATCTCTACATAAAAAGAATAAAATGTGGTGGTGGTGGGAAACCCATATTATTTTTCTTTCTTGAACACCCATATGTATTATATATGCACCTACAGAAAAATTAATCACAGTCTCAAACTAAAGAAAATCTGGGGCTACTTGTGGCAAGACACAATTGAGGGCCACTAGATGGTGCTTCAACTTAATTCTTTTAACATTTTGAAGCAAGTTAAAAAAGCTACTTAACCTAAGGCAAAATAATCCTGTATTTTTTTTCTTTAATTTTTCCATACAACTGCCCTACCATTTACTAATTCTTCAGGTCTTCTTGGTTGGTTTTGAGACAATTACATCAGCAGTGGGTGGGGAATGTTCTAACTTAAAATTAAGGAGAAAAAAAAGTTTTTTTCACTTCCTAAACCTGTACTACTCTTTTCACTAATTTAGTAGAAACATTATCTTTACTGAATGAGGTAGGAGTGGATTTTAACAGCCTGGCTGCAGGGAAAAAGTAGTGTGAGTCTTCATGGTAAACCAAGATTACTACTCATTTCTTCAGATGAAGAGTTGAGATCACCCAATTCTTAAAACTCGAACTGCTTGTTAAGTGTTAATGACTCCAGATTGTTAGAGCTATGGATAAAATTAGCTGGCCTTCTGCACTTCCTAGGCCCTCCCCAGCATCTTTGAGAAGCATATTTGGTATTCTAAAACTGGAAGGAAGCTACAGATAAATTAGGTCAACTTCCTCATTTTTCAAAAGAGGAAACTGAGACTCTCAGAATTCAGTGGCTACTGGGTCTTAGAAAGAGGCCTATTTTTCTTAGTGCCCAAAGGGAGGCAGGCAGCCATCATATGGCAACAGACAGACAATGGCACTTCAGAGGAAGAGGAATGTCCCTCTCTTTCTTGGATTCTGTCTTCCTAGTGAAAACCAAGAACCCCCATGTGCTTCTTCTCTCCTTTGATGGTCAAGGCCACAGGACAGTTAAGAAACAGATACTATGCTTATGTTGATTGATCTTTTGTGGAGCTAGGGCTAAGATCAACAATTTTCACCAGACACATATCTTGGTGGGAGAGATGTGAGTGGAGACCTGAATAAATTTGGGGCATTGCTAAGAAGGTAGAAGTGGAGAATGGGTGTGAAGCCTCAGTGAAGGAGATGGTAATAGTCAAATTGAGTTTTATACAATGCCTTGGTGGATCAGGACAGGCAAGAAAGACTGCCAGAAGAGAAAACCTCATGGGCAGCAGAGACATACGTCAGGGTGCTTATCTCTCCAGGCGATGGGGAAACTATCATCTCATAAAAATCTTACATTTCATGAAGTCATGTGGGGACAGAGGACAGTTATTCTACTAAGAATGCCAGGAGAGTTTTGCAGATCCAGCAAATCTTGATGAATTTATAATGTTCCCTGAACAGAATGTCCAAATCTTCTGACTGATTCACCCAACACTGACTTTAAGATCAAATGAGGAGCCAAGAACATTGGTCTGTACACAGAGGAGAGCTGGAGAGGCTGGGAGAGGCTTGGGTCTGATGGATAATGTCGCTGAGTCTCAGAAGGGTGGGACTCGCTTTCTGATCTGGGTGAAGCTGGCAGAGCTGAGTCGTTTCTCCTAATTCTGGTTTTGCCTCATGAAATAGGAAAATAATACTAGCTCTTAGTGTAGCTGAAGAGAGCATTTTGAAGATAATCATTATATATTTATAAACGTCCTTGTGGAAAGTGGTCTAGGAAGACAAGATCTTATTATTTAGCCTACCTGCTGCCAAATGTACCTCCTGTACACATGAGTGTGTGTGTGTGTATATATGTGTGTGTGTGTGTGTGTATGTATTCTTTTCTCCTATGTAAGAAACAGAGAGCCCATGGGTACCATAGACACTGGATTCCATTTCTAGTGTGCCTTCTCTATTCCAAAGCTCCCTCATATTGAAGAGAGCTCTTCAGAGACACAATCATCACCAGGGAGAAAAGAAATGAGCATCTTTGCACAGTAGAGGGAGGCTATAGAGCAAAGCAAGATAATTTGCAACTTTTTAACTAGAGGAAGAGAAAAAATATTCACAGGTTCATATTAAAAACAAACAAATAAACAAAAAACAAATGTAACCAGATATGCTAAAACAATAGGACTTAATGAAATTCAATTCAGTGTTCTGACTTTTAGGAAAAAGAAAAAAAATCACTTTCTAAATTGCTGTTTCAATTCACCTGTTGGTAAGAATGGGATCCCCCTGGGAAAACAAGGATGTACATGAGAAGTCAATCATTTACTGCTACCCTGTAACCTGATGAAAACACTTGAGGACATCATGACTTTGCAGTTTCTCTTTCATGCTATCTTTCTGAAAACAGAGCAAGAAACCTACTGAGGAGGGTGGTCTGTGACTAAGACGAGTTTTACTCTGATTCTGAGGGGCATCTAGTCTGCCATGCAGCAGGCGGGCATTCAGTGGGGACCACAGAACCTAGAAAGGAAGTGGGTTTCCTCCTTTGTGGGTACCATGTGGCAGGCCACGCTATTGGGAAGACTAACCTGGTGTGTGGCTGTGAAGCCTTTCAGTTGACATGAATGCTTCTGCAGTTCTGAGGGAGGCTGGGTGGGAGTCAGGAGGAGATGAGGTTATATATTTTGTGTCCCCCTTCAAGAACTTACAGTTTATTTACCAAAAATTCCTGCATTCCCAGTTTTAAGGCTTTTGGCCCCAGACAACACCATCCACAACATGACACCTTTGAAAAAACTCTGCCACAGACTTTCCCCATATTCCTTGTAATGGAAAATTGCAACATAATTTACAAGACATTGAAAACCAAGGAGCAGCCCAAGATGTCAGCTCCAAGAAGCTACAGTAAATGTCTTGGGACTAGAAAGAATGATTAAACAACTAGCATTCCAGCAAGAAGCATCTGTCTTTTGTCATTCTCCCCACAGCTACATAAAATGTGCAGAGGAAGGCCGCCATTTCGGTGGAGGCGAAGGAGGTCAGCTGTATGTAACATTTTCCACTAAAGCACACATCCCAGTACTCTCCAGCTGCCTATCAAATGTAGCTCAAGACGGCCTGTTGCTGTCCACAGTAACCCATGACAGCCATTGCATCCTGCAGGTGGAACTTAGGGAGGATCGGATAGGAAAACTTATTCTTAAAAAAATTGGGCCTGGGTTTTAAAATTTATTTCAATTTTGCTTTTTTTTTTCCCCTCTCTGATTTCTACCCCAAACATGCTTTCTTTGGCAGTCTCCCCAGAAAACTGTGAAGTCATAGAGCATAAATTATTTAATTCTCACCTCTACAGGATGGTAAAACTTGCAAACCACAGCTGTTCTTGGGCAAGAGCTCTGGAGAGGCAGAAATCAGCTGATCCCCGAGCAATGCACACGTAGACGCTGGATGGACTGTGGGACAATCCATCTTCAGCTGTTATCACATGTCAGGGTGAGGCTATCTAGGTTTACATGATCTCTCCAAATTTTTACTTAATTCCTCATAGTCAGTAGTGTTCTTTTCTTTAATGACTGCTTCTCAAGGAGACTAGGAAGTGAATTTATTCCCATGTTTCTTATTTATGGGTAAAAGATTGAGACAGCTATACCCTACTTTTGTGTTCTGTCTTCCTCTATGATCCTCTTATTTCGATCCACACACCTATTATCCAAGTTTCCTGGAAATTTATCTCTAGTCCTTTCTTGTTTAATTTTCTGCTTTGGTTTGTGGTGTTCCTGCCTTTGTTCCTACCCCTGCCTTCTCTTCAGTGTAACAGTATCCATAAAATCTCTCCAGATGCCTTGTTCTAAGTGAGGCATGGCCCCACCATAGAGCTTCTTAAAATAGTATTTTGTGGAAATATCCTTGATTTTTATAGGTATTTGTGAATATTTGTCTCCAACACTAAATTGTAAAATCCATGAGAACAGATGCCACAGGGCATTTATTTTTATATTTTCTTGCTTAGCACAATATATATGTATATTATATGTATTATATATATCTTTTTTGCTTAGCATAGTGTGTGTGTATGTGTGTGTGTGTGTGTGTGTGTGTATATATATATATATATATATATATATGTATATGCACTGGATTTTTGAAATTGAACTTAAACTTTCCTCCAAAAAAAATATTGAAAAATATATGACCCACAAAGGGATATGTGTATGTGGATACTTTTGACTATGTGAATAGATGGAATTCTACCCATGAAAGACAGAAAGGGAGGAAATATTTGCAATATATATAAGACAAAATATTATTACCTTGACTGTGTTAACTCCAACAAATCAAAAGAAAAAGACAAAATAAAAATCCCTTGGAAACATTGGCAAAAGATATGAATAGCCATTTTATAAGATAGAAAATAAAAATATCCAATAAATAGGAGGGAACAGTGGCACATGTCTGTAATCCCAGTGACTCAGGAGACTCA